AAAAAAAAAAAAAAAAAAAAAAAAAAAAAAAAAAAAAAAAGAGAAAGAGAGGAAGAAAGGAAAATGAGGAAAAAAAAAAAAGCAGCCTGTGCTTTGTCCATAAATAGCAGCTTTCGATCTTTTCATCATGCTCTTGTACCTTTTCCAGTTCTTCAATATCTTCCTGTGTGGTCTCCCTTGCCTTTTTGAAAGCAAAATTATGCTTGTTTAGGACATCCTGCAGCATTAATGAGATTAAGAGTTTCTTTGTTTGTTGTCTTCTTTTTGGTTTGTTTTTAAATAAATACTACATTTCTTACCAAATAATTCTGCTGTTGATTTAATTTAAGATGCCCTTCAGGAATACTGACCTTGATTTTCCGAAACTATTTGCTTTTTCCTCATTGTAATAACTTCTCTTTGTCTTCTCTGAAATCCTTTTCACCTTTGAGCCTTCTTTTTTAACATATACTTTATTCATAACCTAATTGCTTCTTACACAGCCTGTCAACAGCGCTCTGCAAAGACAGCTGAAAGGGAGAAGGCCTTGTCTAAAGGCAAGTGATAGACAAGATAAGCAAGGATTTGCAAAAAAATATTTCAGATGGGTATGGCAGCACAAGTGAGAAAGTGAGACTCCTTCTCCACAAAAGCAGAATCTAAACAAAGAAAGACCCTTTTCCAAAAGCACTAGCAGAAAATCTGAGATGAAGCAAGTTCAACTGCAGATGGAGGTTTGTAGAGGCACCTAAAGAAACTGCCAGTGCGGCGATGGAGGGGTCGAGGAGTTACAGTTGTGGAGCCCATGCCTTTTTTTTTTTTAATCTGAGATCCTGATTATTAGAAACCGAGTAGTTGGACACGCAATCAGAATACCATACTGGAAAAGAATTTAAACCTTTTAACTGTATTTCAATAACTCTGCATAAATACCAGAGAAATCATAAAAATGTAATACAGCTGTCTCCAAAGATTATGCAGGAAATTCCTCTTTGTCCAAATACAATATCGTATGTCGCCTTTAAAGAGAACGCCTAGTTAACTTTGGATCTACACCATCAGTCATCCACACAGCCTGCTAGGAACAGAGGTATGCTGCCTTGCAGTGGGGGAATTAACCAGGCACAGGCCAGCACAGAACACGTCCAAGGAAATCCTCACCAGGATCCAAACCAGGGGCATGATGGTCCCCCTGTACTCAGCTCTGCTGAGACCACACCTTGAGAGCTGTGTTCAGTGTTGGGCTCCTCACTACAAGAAAGACATTAAAGCACATGGAATGTGGCCAGAGAAGGGCAACAGAGCTGTGATGGGTCTGGAGCACAAGCGTGATGGGGACCAGCTGAGGGAACTGGGATTGTTCAGTCTGGGGAAGGGGAGACCTCATTGCACTCTTACAACTGTCTGAAAGGAGAGTCAGATAGGAGTGATAGAGATGATGGCCTCAAGTGGCCCAGAGAAGATTCAGGTTGGGTGTTAGGAAACATTTCTTCTCCAAAAGAGCAGTGAGGCAGTGGCACAGGCTGCCCAGGGAGGTGGAGTCACCGTCCCTGGAGGTGCTCAAGAACTGTGGAGAGGTGACACGGAAGACGTGGGTTAATGGGCAACACTGGTGGCAGGAAGGCAGATGGACATGATGATCTGAGAGGCTTTTTCCAACCTTAATGATTCTATGAGTTCTTGCAGATGTGACAAGACTATCTATTATGCAAACCTAGGCTCCTACTAGACGAAGGAAATTTGTAACACCAGAATCCCGAACATCATACAACAAGACATTAGGGCCCAATGCAAACAGTGACATGGCTTAGCCCTGCAGAGGGTTTATGATTAGCAAAGTTGTAGTTAGTGAAAATGAAACCATGAACCTAATCTATGCAAGGACACACAAATGGACAAGCATTTGCAGGCATTAGTCCTGGTGTTGGAGACACCACAGGGAAA